TGATATGTGCGCTGATGAAGTGTCAAGCTCCCAGGTGGGCGGGAACATGGTAGCTCAGCACGAGCGTCATGTAGGTCAGCCCGGAGCCCAGTCCAGCGCCTGGGCCATGGCTCGCAGCAACGTGCAAGCACGTGTTTAGGTGGGGCCACCAACATGCGCTGTGACGGAGCTGGATCCCTTTTTGCCCTGCTGGAGTTGGACCTCGAGTACCTGTTGGTGATGGTGACGCGGCGTTTGGCGTCGAGCGTTGAACCGTTGCTTCGTGTGACAACGATTCTAACGATTCTAACGATTCCTGGGGACGGCCCGCTGCGACTCCGTTGATTCATCCGGCGGCGAGGCTGCGAATACGAGCTGCCGTTGGATCGCACAACGAACGTCATTACAAACGGTCTATATAACGAACTGATAAGATAATGCAGCAAGGTTGGCATATACGCGACAAGCGAAGTGAGCGGCAATTGAGGAAGGCACCGAACATGGAAGGAAGGCACGGGGGGATCTTGACAGCATAGGAAGGCACGATGGAAGAATCATGACCAAGCACAGGAAGGCACGATGGAATAACCTGTCAAAACCCTACAATTATCTTCACCCATCCCATTACACTACAACTTCGCCCGCGCTTCCGTAGCCTTGTGCAAATCCTTGCCCTTGACCCTAAAGTACTCCCTTACCTTCTCCCGCGCAACATTAACAGCCTCGCGGTCCTCAATCGTGCTCGGAACGCCCACCTCCTTGTCGAACTCCCCATGCGTCGCGTTCTCCAGTAGCTCGCGCAGCACTCTCCTCAACGTCTTGCCGCTCCTCGTCTTGGGGATCATGCCCTTGCCCTGGATGATGCCTCCCAGACTCGCAATGGCACCAATCTGTTCGCGTACTAGGCGTTGGACTTCGGCGAGGAGCTTGTCGTCTGCCACGGCGGAGTCGGAATGGTTGTTTGTGGATAGTGTGATGAAGGCGAAGGGGAGGTGGCCTTTTAATGCGTCGGGGATGCCGACTACGGCTGCTTCGGCGATGGAAGGATGGGTTGTGATGGCTTGCTCGATGGCGCCTGGATATTGTCAGCTCGAGCTCGCTATCAATTGCATGAGTAGAGCACTTACCTGTACTGAAGCGGTGTGCCGCAACGTTAATCACATCATCTGCCCGTGCCATGATAGAGATGTAGCCCTCCTCGTCAATCATGCCAGCATCGCCAGTGTCAATCCACTTCCCATCAAATCTCTTCATGTAGCCCTTGTAGAAGCGTTCTTCATCCTCCCACAGCGTAGTGAAGGCCGTCGGAGCAAGTGGTATCGCCATGACAATGTTGCCCATCTCGCCTCTCTTCACCTCTTTACCCGAGTCATCCACAACGCGAACATCGAACCCAGGCATCGCCTTTCCAGCCGAGCCTGGCTTGACTGGAAGCGGCGCGGGTCGTCCTTGAGAAGAGAAGTCCAGTCCGGCAGAGGCGCTGAGTGCGATTCCAGAGATGGGTGAGCCTGATTCGGAAGACCACCAGTTGTCTACAACCATTGCGCCAGGAGCACAGTGCTTCGCGAGTAGCTTTTGGTACATCTGGATGATGCTCGGTTCGCTTCTTTCTCCTGCCAGGAACAGTGCCCTCAGTGTCTTCAGTGCACCCTTTCGTCCTTTCGCCTCGAAGAATTCGTTATCGCCGTCATCCCTGCGGATTGCTCGTAAAGCTGTGGGGGCCGTGAACATGGTCGTCACCTTGTACTCTTCAATGACGCGCCAGAAAGTGCTCGCATCGGGGGTTCCAACAGGTTTGCCCTCGAACAGAACCGTAGTGGCGCCAGCCAGCAGCGGAGCGTAGACGATGTAAGAATGACCAACAACCCAGCCGATGTCACTCGCTGTGAACATGACGTCGCCGGGGCCATGGACTCCGAACAGGTACTTGATGCTGAAATTCAGCCCAACAGCATGACCGCCTGCAGAGCGGACAACGCCCTTTGGAAGCCCAGTAGTACCCGACGTGTAGATGATGTACAGTCCATCACCGCTCTTAACGGGCACAGCATTGGCCTTCAACCCCCTGTTCTTCGCGCTTTTGACAAGTCGTTGCCAGTTCCTTTGACCCTCCTCTTTGACTATCGGATCCCATCGAAGCTGATCTCTCTGCCAGACGATTGTCTTGCTAGGCTTGAAGCTACTCTTGTGAACTGCTCCTTCGATCATCGACTTGTACTCAGTGGGTTTCTTCGCTCCCTCAATTCCGCAAGAGGCCGTCATGATTGCGACAGGGCGGCTGGCTTCGATCCGCTGTGCCAGTGCTGCGGGTGAGAAACCACCGAACACAACCGCGTGTATAGCTCCCAGCCGGGCAATAGCCAACATAGCAAAGAGCGCAGCCGGTATCATCGGCATGTAGATCAACACGACATCGCCTTTCTTGACTCCCTCTTCTCTCAACACACCCGCCAGTGTCTCAACTTCTTGTAGCAACTGCTGGTATGTGTACTGCTCTTTCTGCCCGGTTACCGGACTGTCCCAGCAGATAGCTACTTTATCGCCATTGCCGTTTTCCACATGGCGGTCCACACAATTGTACGTCGTCGAGATCTCGCCATCGGCAAACCACTCCCAGTGCTCATGCGAAACATTGCTCTTCTTCAAGTGTTTGACGCTCCGCTGGAACGCCTTGGAAGGCTTCTTGTGCCAATGTAAGTTATTCGCCTGACGCTGCCAGAATTCCTCGGGGTTGTCGATGGAGGCCGCATAGACCTTGTCTTGAATATGTGCTTGAGGCATATTGTCCGTCCGTTTCCCAGATATGAATTGGTTTCGCGAAGTAGAGAACGCAAGTAGTCTGCTAGATCTAACAACGAAGCTAGCGCGGGCAATGGGGCTATGAGCCGAGCAAGAAGTAAGCGGTATGCCGGACCTGAGGATAGTGAATGCGGTCAAGCACGAGTAGCTCTTCCGGGAAAGCATATGGGCGTCATGAGCACTGATGTTTTAGAACGTTGCCGATCGGTCCAAGGGGACCGACGACGCTGACCTCGGAAGGAGCTGGCTCGGCCTACCCCAAGTTCCCCCGCAAAGCGCTAGTGTGGGGTGCTAACACGGTTGGGGATGACGTCTGCTTGGCAGGCTTCTAGAGGTGCTTTTATGCATGATATCCGGCTAGCTCTAGATCTGATTTGTGTCGATTTGTGTTCTTTTGTGAAAAGCGCTTGAAATGCAAAAGATGGTGGTCTTCCGGGCGGAGTTCCTTAGGATGGGAAGTGGCTGGTGAGCTAGAGATCAGACCTCGGGAGCTATGACGTCTCTTCCACGCGACTGCCACATGGATAGTGCGCACCTCATGATTGTTAAAGCAGAGTGATAAGAATACGATTATTATGAATACAATGTCTTGTTCAAGTTCTTTTACGCTCGTGAGATCTAACCTACCTTCCCATCGCACATATTCCGGAAACAATGGATACATTTCCGGGGAATCCTCCCGGTGACGTACATACATAAACACCCACCATCACCACCACCTACACCATCAGCAAAAAATAAACTTTCCACCTCGCCAACCCATCACACCCACTACCATCAACCACCGCAACACCAATCAAACCCACACCATGTCTCTCATCCCACCGCCCAAAGCCCTCCTCTTCGACATCTTCGGCACCTGCGTAAACTGGCGCTCCACCGTCACAACCGCGCTATCACAATCCGCCCACTTAGCCCTAAACTCCGCGACCGCATCGCTAGCCTCGCGTCTGCGCCTCCGAGTCTCTGAAATGAGCGACGAACACTGGGGCCAATTCGCACAACAGTGGCGGAACAGCTACAAGGCTTTTACAAAACAACTCGCAGCCGACCCATCCATACCATGGGTATCTGTCGACGACCACCATCTAAGTGCACTCAAGAAACTCATTGCAGAATGGGAATTAGACGGTCTATGGGACGAGGAAGAGATCCGCGCGTTGAGTCTAATATGGCATCAACTCGACCCCTGGGATGACTCCGTCGCTGGTATGGCGTTATTGAACCAAGCTGGCTTCCACACATGTATGTTATCGAACGGGAACTTATCTCTGCTCTCCGATCTACGTGCATACAGCCAGATACCGTTCACGCACATCTTCTCCGCCGAGATGTTCGGCACGTACAAACCCAGTCCGAAAGTTTACCTAGGCGCGGCGGAGAAATTGGGGCTCAGGCCGGAGGAATGTGCCATGGTGGCTGCGCATTTGAATGATCTCAAGGCGGCGAAGGGGTGTGGGTTGAGGACTGTGTATGTGGAGAGGGCGCAGGAGGAGGATTGGAGTGAGGAGGTGGTGGAGGAGGCGAGGAGAGAGGGGTGGGTTGATGTGTGGATTGATATGAAGGAGGGGAGTAGAGGGTTCGTTACTGTAGCGGAGAAGTTGGGTGTTAAGGTGGATACGGAAGGGATTGCGGAGGCTAAGAGAGTGGTGTCGCTTCCTACGCAGATGAACTGAGTGGGTATTCTCAAGTAGATTGAAGGGTTAGGCGCTGCGAAAGACTGGGGAAAACAGTGCAGTATACGATAGCGGTTTCATTGTCACGGTTATACTACTTCAACGAATGTCGCCGGCAAAGCTATGTTATTGGTGGCGATGCCAGTATACCTGCATCGTTGCGTTCGTCCAGACACCTGTTGATCAACGCCGGATACTTGTGTGAGACGATGTTACTAACACATAGCCAATGAGACAATTCTTCTTTAAGTGACTAGCAACAGAAGAAAATGTAAGAATACAAGATATAGGAAATAGCGCGTTAGTATACCTAGGTATAACCATAAACAACAGCATGTGATAGATTGACCGTAGCACCTTGTAGAAAAGATGCATCACTCACTTTGAAAGGACAATGGAAGTAAAATTTTCATTAAAGCCTCGGTTGCATGAAAGTGTTGATGAATATTCAGATTGATGATATGTAACCTGCAAGGCACCTGTCCCATTTATTTCTTAAATGCAGTAATAGCTCAGCCCTCAATATCTACAACCGCACATCACACCCTACACAGCACTCCTCCCCCTCTCCTTCGCCTCCGCCTCCCTCCTCAACCTCCCCTTCTCCACCGCCTCCTCAACCTTCGTCTTCCGCCAACTACACTCCTCGCTAAAATCACAAATCCGACACTTAAACGCCTCTTCAATCTCCACGCCCTTGGCCTCCCTCCTCCCCTTCCACCAATCCATCTCGCTCTCCACATACCCATCAACAACACTCGCTTCATACACCGTAAGCCGGCTACCCAACACATCCCCCGTCTTCGCATACCTAAACTCCGCGCGCAGGATGGGCGAGAGGCTGGAAGGAGGGAATGTGGCTTGCATTTCGGTGACGAGCAGGGACCAGAGGGCGAGTAGGTTGGGGTAGGAGGAGACGCGGTTTTCGGGGCCGATGTTGCTGATTTCGGAAAGGAAGAGCGGGGTGAAGGGGGTGAGGGGGTCGAGGGAGTAGCGCGCGAAGACGGTTTCGGCGTCGACGGTGTTGAGGGAGAGGGACTCGAGGAGTTTGCGGTAGAGCATTAGTTGCATCCAGGTAGGGCGGAGAGACGCGCCTGTTGGGAGGGATTTCGCGGATCGTGTTTTTACGTCTGCAATGTAGATTTGGCGGTCGGAAGGTGGTGTGGAGACTAGTGGGCTGAAGGAGGGCGGTTTGCTGGCTTTTGCGAAGGCGTCTGTGATGCTGAGTTGGCCTGGTGGTAGGGGGACGATGCCGCCATTTTTCTCGGCGCGGGTTCGCTCGAGCTCCTCTTCAAATTCTGGGTCGGGACATTCGTAGGAGATCTCGTCGATGACGCCGTTGATGACTTGGCCTTCGAGCACGCCCCAGACTTCTAGTTCACGCGTAAGGCCCGTCTCGCGAAGACACCGCAGGCCTGATATAGCATTCCACATGCGTAGTCCAAATCGGTCTTCTTTACTTTCTACCTGCACTGGCACTGTTGTGTGCACCTGGTCTTCCAGCGTCTGGTGGATCTTGCTACCGGTTTTCATCGCCTGTGTCCGCGGTTTGCGGCCAAACTTGCTCAACGTGTAAAAGTACTGCAGTTCGCACCATGCTGGTGAGACGAGATCAGTCACCGAAAGACACTTCTTGGGCTTCGTTCGGAAACGCTCGATGGGCGGCCGGTTATCGGTTTCGGCAGCATGTGCGGCCTGTGTAGTAGAGGCGGCGCGCGTAGACTGTGATATGCTGCGATCAGATCGTAATTGCGAGGGTCTGGGGGGAGAGGCTGGTTGTTCGTGAGGAACTAAGCGCTGTTAGTCGTCAGTCATGCCAATGCCACTGCTGCGAGTCTGGATCAACGCACCACTCCACGCCCGTCGCGATCGTTCGTCGTACTCGACTTCCAGCGCCTTGCGCTCTCGCATGGGCGAGCTCTGTATATCCCTCTGTGCATCCGCGTCGACATTGGCCTTGCTCTTTGCAACACGCAGGACCGTGGGTCTATGAATCTGCACGAAGCCGTCCACATCCTGCTCTTCGTCTTCGAGTTCGCCTTCTTCGAATTCTATGCTGGGGAGGACTGCGCTCTTCTGGGTTTGCGCAGCGTCTGTTATCGTGTCAAAGGCGTCGGCGAGTATGGTGTCGTCGTCAATGTCAATGTCCGAGCCGTAGTCGCTCAGCGTCGCGATGGACTGGATGTCGATATCTGAGCCATACTCGCTCGTGCGAGTCGTCAGCCGTGTGGACGGTGCAGCCATGATGCCATGATCTGGCCGCGGCGGGTCTGTTGTGTGCGTGGCGACACTTTGACGCGCTTCGAGTGTTGGCGCGTTTTCGCGTGTTATCGTGAGGTCATCGGTGGGCGGGCCAATCGAGGGGTTGTCTTTGATCACCATAGTCAGGAAATTCAGAAATGTGTGTTATGAGAAGGAGACAGGTGTCTTGTCACGACCATAGAGCGTGCTATCTTCACACAGTCGCGAGAATGATGCAAGAACGCGTTGTGCTTCACGATCATCTCGTACCTCACATGCGACACAAAATCCGCGTCTTCACAACGCAAAACGCAACAACCGCACAACCATAATACCAACTACAAGCATCACATACAATCTACACAAACATATCATAACAACCACACCCCCATCAACCCTGCATAGCCTCAGCAAAACCCCCCGTCTCAAACCTCCCCCCGCGCACCTTATCCACCCCCTCCTTAAAATCCGGCATATCATCCGCCCTCCCATCAACCCTACTCCACCTCACAATCCCCTGCGCATCAACCCCAAAATTGCCCGCCGTCTGCCACCGACTCCCACTCTCAGTCGGCCTCACACTAATGCCCTCTTTGCTCAACTTGCTCGTACCAGGTATACTGCCTAGCACATGCCACAAACTGGACGTGCCTAAGCCCCACGCGGCATATGCTTCGCGTTCTGCATCAACAACGATGCTGAGGTTAGATTGGGAGTTCTGTGATGGTTCAGGCAACGATGCAAGCCAGCGGTCCGTAGCCGCCTGGTCGCTGTGCGAAACGGCTATGAAATGTATGTCTGGGTGAGCGGGCGCGAGGGCGCGCATGTTTAGGAAGGTCTTTTCTGCGACTGTGGTGGTGTTGGTGAGATTGCATCGTCATGGTTTTTAACAATGTACGTACAAGGACATCCGCAGTGTCGGAGGAAGGTGACGATTGTTGGCTTGCCATCTTGTGCTGGTATGGTGAGTTTGGGCGTGGAGGGCGCCTTTTGGCCGACGGCTGGGACTTCAGCGGTCTGCACTGTGGGTGGCGACATCCATGACCAGAATTCGGTTTGCCAGGTCATCGTAGAGAGGTATGTGTTGGATGAAGATGCGCGATTGCGCAGCATTCACGGGAAGGCATCGTAGTAGTCTCAGCTGTTAGTGTACCGTTCGCCGAGGTGCTGCGTCGTGTTGGTCGAGTTAGTAGCTGCGATGGGCGTCATGTTGCGGGGTGAGTGCCGCATCGCGACTATTCGCGGCCAGTCGAAGTAGCGCAGTGGTATGAACACCAAAGAGCGGAGGGAAGAAGAGTTGGCGACACCCTGAAAGTCAAAGCAAACATCACAATCATAGACGAAGATAGAATGAAGTAGAAATCTGTTGATTTCGTGGAATATCGCCAGTGACCATCACTGATTAACCTGGATATACTACATGCTCAGCACCGCTCGTGTGCACTCATAAACCGAGTTGAAGACCGTGAACCATGAACCCAAACGCCTAAATATCCGACCCAAAGACCCAATCCATCACCGACCCGAAGAAGTTGTCATAGTCGTGTCGATATATCGAAGGTGAGAAGCTTAACCGCGCTCACCACGGAGGCGGCGGGCGAGCTGGATGTCCTTGCTCTGGATGGTGACACGCTTGGCGTGGATGGCGCAGAGGTTGGTGTCCTCGAAGAGCGAGACAAGGTAGGCCTCGACGGACTCCTGGAGAGCGCCGATGGCAGAGGACTGGAAGCGGAGATCCGACTTGAAGTCCTGAGCGATCTCACGGACAAGACGCTGGAAGGGCAGCTTGCGGATGAGGAGCTCAGTCGACTTCTGGTAGCGACGGATCTCACGGAGAGCGACGGTTCCGGGCTTGTAGCGGTGAGGCTTCTTGACACCACCAGTTGACTGGAGAAGGATGTTAGAGGGATGCATCGCATGATGAAAGCAGGATAGTTCATACCGGTGCGGACTTGCGAGCTGCCTTGGATGCGAGCCTTGAAGTGAAGTTAGTATGCTGCGATGAGGTGCGAAGTAGAGCTGAGGCTAGACTAACTGCTTGCGGGGGGCTTTGCCACCAGTGGACCTGAGAGATTGTTAGTATGATAGTTATTGTAGAGCTGATGCGGCGAAGCTTACTTGCGGGCGGTCTGCTTAGTGCGGGCCATGTTGTTGTAGTGGGATGGAGATGGAGATGTGGATGTGGTAGATGGTTGTTGTGATGGTGAGTGGAGTTGAGTGGATGAGAGATGGAGGAGGGTGGGCGGGCGCAGCTTATATGGTAAATGGGGGGCGGGCGGCTGCCTGGAAAATCAATCTTTGTTGCGCTCCCTCACAGCGCGCACCAGGAACACCAAAGCCATGCTAAGCATGCTAACCTGCGCGCGCTGCAACTTCAAAACCACCAAGTCCACACCGCGGCGCGCATTCCCCATTGGCTCGCTTGCTGCGCGCCCCGATTGGGAAGGGGCACGGGCGTTGATCTGGAAAGCGCGCCCGTGCGCGGCTTTGATCTGGCGTGGCTGGCGTGTGATCCGGCGCGCAAGACGACGCGCCCCGCTGCCTCATAAACACGACACCCGCCGCCCCAAGTATTTCCCATCATCACCAAAGCATCCAATCCACTACTACCACTCTCTCACTCCACAACCAACAACACCTCCTCCCCAACACAACAACCCCCCACATCTATCATCATGACTGGTCGTGAGTATTCCCTCCTCCTCCACACTTCGGCGCGCTCAACGCGTCGTCCTTCACCATCAACACTTTACTAACGCGTCTCCCAGGCGGCAAAGGTGGCAAGGGTCTCGGAAAGGGTGGTGCCAAGCGCCACCGCAAGATTCTCCGCGACAACATCCAGGGTATCACCAAGCCCGCTATCCGTCGTCTCGCACGTCGTGGCGGTGTCAAGCGTATCTCAGCCAGTATGTCTCCTCCACATCTTCCTCGCCTACCTCGCTAACCCACCCCAGTGATCTACGAGGAGACCCGCGGTGTTCTCAAGACCTTCCTCGAGGGTGTCATCCGTGACGCTGTCACATACACCGAGCACGCCAAGCGCAAGACCGTCACCTCCCTCGACGTTGTCTACGCTCTCAAGCGTCAAGGCCGCACTCTGTACGGTTTCGGTGGTTAAGCGCGTCGTCTTCTTCTCGCTCTTACGGTTTTCAATGTTACGACTTTTGTCCGGCTGGCTTCTTCAGCAGTCTACGGTCGCCTCTTCGGTGCTTGGTGGGATGGTCATGGCCTTGTATAGTATAAGAAGGCTCGGAGTTCACGGTTATATCAGTCGGGTTCTGATTTGCATGGAATGATACCATAATAACTTCATCAATATGTCTTCTGCCGTGATGTGCGACGCGTCTGAACTTTTGGTTAACGCGGTGGTCATGGCTGTTTTGCTCCACTTACGCGGTGTGCTGTTCCGCCTTTTGTTCTGCTAGTGTGTATGTGATTTAGCGTCGTGTACAGTTTGCCAGACCGACTTTCATCTCGTTCGCCTGCACAATGAACAGGACGTTTCGTGACTCATTGACTGTGCCGTTTGACCGGTCGTAGTATGACTCATAGCTTGCGCTTACTGCCACCTGCGTGAAGACGGCTGTGAAGTTTGGCTGTTGGACGTATGACGTCACCTCTTTCTGCATCCAACGGCCGTACAACGCGACGGTAGATATGTGAACGATATGTTATGTTTTGTATTCTCGATACGCGCGTGCTTGTATATTTGCTTCTACATCACGCTGCGCATTCAAAACGCGTCGTGTGGTTGTGAATATACGCGTAGTTTGACTGCTCTGGAAAGACACTTCCACATCTGCGACGCGTAGACTTCCACCACAGTGTTCAAATAATCTTAAAATTGCGTGAAGTACTTTTATGTATTATATTACCCGATTTGCGAAGTTTGAGGTGATTTGAGCAAGATGTGGTTGCGTTGTAATTTTTTGAAGATGTTACGTGTTGAGTCCTGAATGCCAAAAACACACAATCAGACTTTCCACACAATGTGAAATACAGACACAACAACCCAAATTCGGATGTTGTTAAGTAGTATCGGAACATCACAACATGTTCCAAAGCTCCAGAAATTACAGTATGAGTGGTTTTTGCATCTTTCCGAGCGATGTGGTGGGTTGCGCAATACTTCCGGGTGGTGAGCATGCTTGGTGGAAGCCGCGCCGAACGTGTACGCAAGGCACGCATGTCTACAGTATGCCATCAAGTCACATAAAGGACAAAAGACACGCTGGAATAGGTTCAGATTTCAAAATCATTATCACCATCATGTACACGACGCAGGGTATCACACAAGAGATACCTGGGTAGGTAGAGTCTCAACAATGGTCGGTCAAGTTCATCATGATCGTTGTCATTAAGGTGGCAATATATATCCATCGAGGTCCAGATACCTAGGTATTATCCAAGGTCTGTATGCAAGAAACAGGGCAGAAGAGGCTCTCTTCACAACCCCTCCAACACAGCCGGTCGCCGCCGTCCCGAAGATACAAGCAAACCAGCCGCAGAGCAAGAGAACCTTCACAGCCCCGCCATCATCCCGCCAATCCCGACATCACATCAATCACCCCTCTACTGCCCGCTAGGAACCTGATAAGGCCCATAGCCCGGCTTAGGAAAGTCCGGACTCCCATCCTCATTCCAGCCAAACTTCTGCGCACGAATCGACCTCGCACTCCACCCATTCGTCGGATCCTGCATACCATGGTAAACGATCCAGTCCTCGGATCCATCAGGCGACGTCGTAAAAGACGCATGACCAACACCGTACGCCTTCTCACTAGGATTCTGGTAGAAAACGGGGTAAGGATGCTTGCGCCAGTCGCTAGGGTTCATCGGGTCGTCGCCAACGAGCTCGAGCTGACCGAGACAGTAGTTGCGGTTGTCTGAGCGGGCGGCGCTGTAGATGAGGAAGTTTTGGCCGGTGGTGGGGTTGGTGAGTTGTTGGGGGCCTTCGTTGGAGGAGAGGCGGTCGTTGATGGAGCGGCCGAAGGGGGTCTTTTCCCAGGCGTATTCAGGCACGGAGATGATTTGACGCTCGGAGAAGGGGGAGACGGTGGTGGAAGGGTCGGACATCTTGGTTATGCAGAGGTTGGCTGGCCAGCCGTCGTACTTGTGGTACCAGCACGAGTAGATGTGATACAGTTGGTCGGCGTGCTGGAAGTAGGTTCCGTCGATGGCGAATTGATCGTACGTCTCGAGTTCGCTGTGGTAGCGGTACTCAGCGGTCCACGGGTCTTCGCCTTCGCCGACGACGGTGAACATGCGGTGGTTGACGGCGGGGCAGTTGTACTCGCACCACATCTCCACTTCGGGTGGTGGGGAGTCGAAGTTGGGGTCTGCGGTGAAGATTACCCACCAGCTTCCGTCGATTTGGTGGATTTCGGGCGCCCAGAGATCGGTGGAGTAGGCCTGGTCGGGCTCGGGGACGAAGATGGTCTTGGACTCTGCGGCGTCCCAGGAGGTCAGGGACTTGCTGCGCCAGAGGGTGATGTTGACGTTGTTGGTGTAGGTCATGTAGTAGTAGTCCTCGTGCCGGAACACCCAACTAGATGATGTTCAGACGGATGGTAGCATAATTTGGAGGATTGACTTACGGGTCTGCTCCAGCGCCCACAATCGGGTTCATGAATGTAGTCGAATTGGTCGCGTTGGGCATGGCGTACTGGGACGCGCCCACCGCAGCAAGAGCCGCAGCAACCAGAAGCTTGAACATGTTGCCGTTACAATCTCACAGATACCGAGGAAGGGAGGCGTAGGAGGTGAGTTCAACAATTTACCCGGCTGTTCAGGTACTTATGCGGAGAGGAAGCGGGGTGGTGGGGATCGCAGGGTGCCTAGCAAGTGAAATGGGGAAGATACAGAACCTTTCGGGCTATGCACGATCGTTTTACTGTGGCGGCATAGCGTAACTCTCGTACAGGGAAACAGGTAGCATTTTCCTACAGTAGTCTTGTGATCCTGCATAAGTAAGATCGCGCTGCAACCTTACAGACAGTCAACTAGAGCCGAAGCGGCAGGGTACCGAAGACTACGCAAATTAAGGCATTGTCCGTGCCTCGAGAAGTCCATACATTGACCATCGTGATCGTGCTGACGCAATACAATCCGGTAGTAGACGAGGCTGGAGTTGTGTTGAGCGCTCAAGGTTCCCCGCGTTAGACCAGCCACGCTTCTTTAGCGTAGCCTCGCGTGGTGCAGGCGCGACCCGAAGACGCCAGCAGAGGCTTGGCACATCTTTTGCGAATCACGACTCTCCACCAACCTCTCAACTCGCGCACCATGAACAACTCGCAATTCAGGCGGCTGCTAGTCGAAACACCGAAACCACAGGATGACGGCAAGGGCAAGTCACCTGCATCGGCCACGCCGAGGGCGGTGCTGGGCGCGCGCAAGCACTCGAGTATACCAATGACACCGTAAGTCTTTCCCATAGTGTCTCGCGCAGGACTGATGCTAACAGATACGCAGTCGCCAGGTAGGCAAGGGCTCTATACAATCGGATTTTGCGCGCCAACTCGCCGAGCGCAACGCGAAGAACAACCCACAAAAGAAGGCCAGGAACATAGTGCCCAAAGGAACGAGGCTCGCCGCAGGCTACACCGACCGCACAAAGGCCTACACGGATGAAGAAGATAACGAGATCGCCAAACGCGTCAAGAACCTCGAGGAGTCTATGAAGAAGGGCGAGATCGACCGCGAGACGTTTGAGAAGCTGGTGCAAGACATCACGGGTGGTGATGTCGGGACCACACATCTAGTGAAGGGCCTGGACAGGAAGCTTCTCGAGAGAGTGAGGCGAGGCGAGGATGTTCTGGGTGGCCTAGACAAGAAAGAAGAAGAAGAAGAAAAAGAGGAGGAGGAGGCTGAAGAGGTGCCAGAGGTGGAAGACGCGTTCGATGAGCTGGCAGAGGCGGATGTCGGCCCCATTACACGCGAGAAGACTGAGAAGAAGGGTGAGAAGATGACTGGGCCGCGTCCTGTCGCTGGCGTCAAGAGAAGTCGCAACGACATCCTGAAAGACCTCAAGAGGCAACGGGAAGAGGCAGCAGCCGCCGCGGCGGCCGAGCACGAGAAGAGGTTTCCAACCCTGGGACCGGGTTTCCGCAAGATCAACGCTCAGGGGGACACACGCATCGAGACAGATGAGAAGGGTCGTGAGGTGCTGATCATCACCGGTCCAGATGGCAAGGAGAAGAGAAAGGTCAAGAAGCAGAAGGTCGAGGAGCCAGCGCCCGAAGTACGTCATGATCTGGACGACGTGAATAAGCCAATCAATATGCACAACCTCCCTGAGCCGAAGAAGGAAGAGTCAGAGGACGAGGATATATTCGCAGGGGTGGGATCGAACTACAACCCACTCGCGAACTTCGACGACTCAGATGACGAATCGGACGAAGAGACAGCGAAGCCAGAGACAGCGAAGATGGAGCCTTCTGTACCCAAGCTCGATGCTGCAGAATCACAATCAGATGGCGAAGTATCTTCAGAAGCAGAAGAAGACGTGCCAGCGAAACCCAAAGACAACGCACCCGCAGCGCCCGCAAAACGAGACTACTTCGCAACCACAGCCCGCTCGACCTCCACAGCAGAACCCTCCGACCTCTCCGCCGCCGACGCCACCGTCCGCGCCGCCCTCGCCAAAGTCCGCAACTTGGACGAAAACTCCACACTCCTCCAAAACCTCGGATCCACCGACCCCAACGACCCCGCATCGAAAGAAGCGCGACTCAAGAAACGTGCCGCGGAGTTGGCAGCTTCCGATCGCGATATGGAAGACATGGACATGGGTTTCGGAGCATCGCGATTCGATGACGCGGAGGAGATGGAGCGGGAAGGCGAGAAAGTCAAGTTCAGTCAGTGGAAGGGATTGGGTGCTGAAGGCGATGATGAGGAGGGTGAGGAAGGGGGTAAAGGGCCGAAGAAGGTGAGGAAGCGGGGTGGGAAGAAGAGGAAGGGGGATAAGAATAATGCGGATGATGTGTTGAATGTTATGGAGAGGCAGAAGGAGAAGAAGGAGAAGACTAAGACGCTTGGTTGAGGGAATAGTTTGATAGGATATATGATACTATCTTCATGAGATGGGGATTATGGGTTCAAGCACCAGATGGGATGATG